GCTGAAGCGCGCGGTGGACATCGTCGAGGGCGACGGTCGAAATGACATGAGATGAGCGGATACTGCGCAGCCCTCCCCCTCCTTCCCCCCCGCCTCCTGTTGGTTCAGCGCATCTTCCGCGTTTAAGGGGGCCAATGCAGTGTGCCGGTTAACAATTTGTGTGTGTATGTTTGCAATTCAGTCACATCAACTGGACGGACATACCGATAGGATTTGGTCCTTGGAGGTCTGTAACGCGTAGAACTGATTACTGTCCACAGTCAAGAGCACCAGACAGGAGTGTTCGTCCAAGTAGGACAAATTGGCGTAAAGATACCCACTGAAAAAGAAGAAAACCAAAAAATACACCAGAAACCGCTAACCGGATCGACAAGTTCATGCTGTCACTATGCATAGGCCGGAATATGTCAGGTCTAGGAAGTTAGCTCGCCGGAGAAGTGGTTTGTAGACGAGCACAAACATAAAGGGCTGAAAGCAGGAACTGCCACTAAACAGCACTTTGTAGGAATTACCCAGTGGTGTTTGATCCTGCTAAGAAAAAAGCAATGGGGGACAAGCACCAGGGCTAGGGCTTACATGGAACCCGATAAGCATAGTAGGTGAAAGTTCAATTTAAAGGTCCACAACAGGATGCGAAAGCCCCTTCCTTCTATAATACGCGACAGGTGGTAAAAAGGCGTAAATGGGTGGGGCTTATCAGGAGAAAGAGAAAAAATTAATCAAAAAAGTACGGTGTATAAAGGTAGGAAATAATATAATTATTTAAACAAAAAAATATCTGCGCGCGATAATTAAAATGACAAATACAACCAATAGGAGAGAAGAAGGCTAGAGTGCCCAAATAGACACAATCGTCGACTCTACATCAACTCTATATCAGCCGTATAGAGATTATATAGAGAGGATAGAACCCACAATTGTGTCCAATTGGGCACTAATGGGCCATTTTAATTATTGCGCGCAAATATTCGGTAACTAATATAAGCTGTAGTGGACGCCAAATTAGACTTTTACCGCATAATTCTTGCAACGAACACAACAGAAAAGACCACTGTGGCCTAGCAGGAGATAATACAGGGCAGAATCCGCTGCAGTCTTACTTCGGATTGAATTTGGGCAGACATATCGGCAACCAGTTGGTGGGAGCTGCCTTGAAGGACTGCGAACAACGCACAAGATTGGTGACCAGGTGGATGTCTGTCGGGTGCAGGAAGTGCTTCTTCATGCTGACAATGCATACTACCCGGTAGTTTGTCAAGAGGATGGCGAATACGAGGTCCTACGGAGAAGAGAGAGCGGGCAGACGAGAAAAGAAACTCAATCAGTGTCTGTCAGTTATAACGTAGGCAAGCAGGAACACAAAAGGCAAGGATCGCAAATGCTGCCGTACTGAGAAACGCCAAGCCAGCGGTTCATGTAACATGGGACCGGTGATAATAGGGATTATACGGGTGGGGGGAAAGATCGGTGACTGCTAGGTGAAATTAGAGGTAGAATAAGGAAAGTGTAGCAGCTGCTTCAATGCCTTCCTT